TTTATTGTAGAAACGAGGTCTCATCATGTAGTCCAGGCTGGTCTTGAACCCCTGGGCTCCAGCAATCCTCTCGCCTCAGCCTCACAAAGTGCTGAGATTACAGACGTGGGCCACCACATCCAGCCGCTATACATTCTTTTTTGTATTACAAATTCCAGGAACATGAAGCAGCTAGTCAGGAACCAAACACCTTTAAACAATTGCCCCCAAGTATGGGGAAAGGGGGTGTGACTGAAGTCCCTTACAAGTCTCACAGAGCTCAGACAGCTCTGAGCTATTTTTCTTTCTCACAGTAAAAATACACTGTATTTGATAGAGGAATTCAAAGAGGAAAGCAAGCAAACCAAATTGGAAGAAGGAAGCAACAACAACAACAACAACAATGTAGAAATCCCCCTTGGAATGGTCCAGGCATAAGATGGCGAGGGCATGAATCAAAGTGGTGGTAGTGATCGTGGGAGCCAAGAAGAAAGAAGAGGCTCAGCACCACAGAGTGACAGGAACAAAAAAATCGCTAAGGCTTAGGGACTGACTGGATGCTAAGGAATGAGCCTGAAGGAATACAACATGATTTAGGTTTTGAACCTCAGTGATTGAAAATGTTTATGTTAACAGCGTATGGAAATCAGAGGAAAGGCACGTTTTGGTGGACAGAGAGCAAGGTGGAATTGAGTGATTCTGGCTGTGTCTGTGGAGTTTGAGGTGACAGTTATATTTACAATCTGACAAAAGGCAGTCATTGCCTTCCTCCCTGTGATGCTCCTGGGTTCACTGTTGGCTTTTACACTTGGCCTCGGGCTGACCAGATCCAGATGTGAAGTTAACTCTTAACAAACAGTAACTGAGTGTTAGCACAGAAAGACTCCATAATGAAGAGGGCCCCACCAAAATGCCTAAGTAGGTTCTGCACAGTGGTTCCTTCCTGAAACCCCAGCCCAGGTGGGAGGGTCGCTTGAACTCAGAAGTTCAAGACCAGCCTGGGCAACATAGCGAGACTGTCTCTTTGAGCAAAAAAATAAAATAAAATAAAATGATTAGTAAACCTTTGTGAAAGCGTGACAATTTCTGCATAAGCAATAGGCCAGCCCTGCAATCAACCCTCCACCCACTCATGAAGTGAAGAGATATTCTATTTGAGTCTGAACAGGAAGATCAGGCATCATTAACCAGTTCCCAAATGGAGATGCTAGTGATCAGGGAGTGGGTCTCAACATTCCCTTAGGAAGTAGCTGAGTTTTATAGTAGACGCTACAATTCCTTCAACAGATAAAAAGTGCCTTCCTAGATACATGTGCTTGCATATTCATATTGCCAACATCAGCATCTCAATGAGGCCTTGCTTTGAAATAATATAGACTTGCCTTCGTTGAGAAAACGTAACAAATCTGAACTTTAAAAACTGATAAACTGGCGGGGCTCAGCAACTCAGCCTGTAATCCCAGCACTTTGGGAGCCTGAGGCGAGTGAATTGCCTGAGCCTGCGGGTTCGAGACCAGCCTAGGCAACTTGGCTAGACCTTGTCTCTACAATAAAATAAAAAATTAGTGGGGCATGGTAGCGCACACCTGTAGTTCTGACTACTTGGAAGGCTGAGGCAGAAGGATCACCAGAGCCCAACAGGTTGACGCTGAGGTGGCCATGAGTATGCCACTGCACTCCAGTCTGGGCGACGAGTGAGACTCCAACTCAGAAAAAAAAAACCTCAAAAAACAAAAAACTGGTAAACAAATAAGCTAAGACATTAATTTTTTTTAAAAAATTAAGATTTTTATTTAAATAATAATAGTTATTATTTTTATTATTTTAGAGACACAGTCTCACTCTGGCTCAGGCTGTAGTGTAATGGCATGATCATAGCTCACTGCAACCTCGACCTCCTGGGCTCAAGTGATCATCCCACTTCAGTCCCCCAAGTGGCTGGGACTACAGGCACATTCCACCATGCTCAGTTAATTTTTCATTTTTTGTAGAGGTTGGGGGTAGAGGGTCTTGCTATATTACCTGGGCTGTTCTTGAACCACTGACACAAAGCAATCTTCCTGACTTGGCCTCTCAAAGTGCTGGGATTCTAGATGTGAGCCACCGTGCCTGTTCTAAAATTTTTTTTAGATATGAAGTTTTGCTACTTTGCCCAGGCTGCTCTTGAACTCTTGGCTCAAGTGATCCTCCCACCTCAATTTCCCAAGTGACTGAGATTATAGGCGTGAGCCATGGCACCAGCTCCATTTAAAAATTTTTAAATATATTAACAGAATGCTTTTTCCTTAAAAAAAAAAAGTTTTGAAAAGCATTCCAACAAAGGAACAGTATAAGGAATAAAATATCAAATACTTGTGTTTGCACCACCGGGATACAACAAATGCCATATTTGCTTCAGTTTTTAAAAAGGAAATTAAATGTCATGGATATAGTTGATATCCTTGTCTACCTTCTCAGCTTCCATTTTCTTTCCTAGTTTCTCAGAGGTTACTGCTATTCTGAAATTGGTATATTCTTCCTGGTCATGTTTTTTATACTTCTACTACATGCATATATCCCAATATATTATGTAATATTATTTTGTGTGTTTCCAATTGCACATAAATGGCATAGCATTGCATTTATCATTCTCTATCTTATTTTTATATATCACAATGCCTTTACCCTTTCTGCCACTACAGGACATTTAGGTTATTTCCAATTTTTCCCTGAAATGGACATACTTGTACATATCCCGTGTGGAGGCTTCACTAGAGGATCTTAGTAAATGTGGAATCGCTAGATTTCAGGAACTGTACATCTTTACCTTAGCTAGAGATGGCCAACTTATTCCTGGAAGTGGTTGCTCAAGGTGTGCTCCCCTCAACACTGTGTGAAAGTTCTAGACTCACCTACAGTTGTTAAACGTTTACGTTTTTGTGAACCAACTGGACGTTTTAAAATTTTCATTCCCTGATCAATTGTGAAGCTTCGTTTGAAGTATCCAAGCTCTCCTAGGCAAGTTAGAAGTTTGTCTCTCATCAACCAATTAACACAGAGTTTTCTAGAAGGGAACATAAGTCAGGCAGGGAAAATTAGAGTTAGGACAAAGAGCTGCCATGAAAGAAAGGTCAACTGAGGTGAAGATAAAGTACACTTGGAGTTATAGTCAATAGGAAAACATAGATGATTTTTACAAAATGATTCTGAACAATTGTATAGCTATGTGGTAGAGAGACCTTTGCTAAGCACCTTCAGATTTTATCCCATGAATTCATATAAGACCAGCAAGGAACTACAGGTGATGATGAGCAACACTGTGACCAGTGCCTGGATACAGCTGGACTCCCAGGTCCTAGTTCTCTGTGATGGCAAGGAGATGACGCTAACTTGGGGCATGTGTAGCAGGTCCTTTAGTGCTCACTCAGGGAAAGGTAACAAGTGTTTACTAGAAGGTGAACATGTTGAAACTTGAAATTCAATCAGCAGCCTAAGGGACAGGAGTTGGGCTTCCAAGCTGGGGGAAAAGATGGGCTCGGGTAAACCCGGCTCTCGCTCGGAGTCTCCGTTTCTTCACTGTTAAATAAGCATAACTCTATCTTCTTCGCAGAGTTGTTACAGGATTGAAAGTAACAAGTACTTCTAGTGTAGTGAGTGGTGCATATCATTTATCATAGTAAATTCATGACAACAAGAGAATGAAGCAGCTACACACCGGGCATTGCTGGAAGTCCAGGACACATGGCAGTGAAGAATTAGCCCAAGTCCCAGCTGTCAAGAAGTTCTTCACATTCTGGAGAGGGGTGACAAACAATAAACCAATAATCTAATATATAATATAGCTGGTGATTTGTGCCTCTGGGAAAATAAACACAGGGTAAAGGAGATAGAGTGAAGGGGCCACCCAGCAATCAGTGCTGCTTTCTCTTCCTGCTCACTCACAGGCGACACTGGGAAGTCTTCTCAGAGTCACTTGAGCTCTAACTTAAATATGAAATGGGAAAAACGATACTGGAGTTATGTGGGGTTTATGCAATTTGCTAAAATTAAAATTTAGACACTGTCCAAACTTTGATTTGTTTAGAACTTAAAAGCAAAGAGGAAAAAGGCAATCTTTATTGAAAACTTTCTGATTTAAGATTTACAAAGTATTTGAAAATTGCAAAATTATAGACTTCAGTGATTGAAAAAGAATTTTATTTAAAAAATACATGTGTATATATAAACAAAAATATGAGCAGTAGAAAAAACAAGGGGCAGAGACTCTTGGGAGGCCTGGAATGCACTTTAGGTTCTGTCCTTCCACAGCTGTGGAAACCATGCAACCTCTCTCTGCCTCAGTTTCCTTGTCTATAAAATGATTTGAAGAAAAAAAAAAGATTCGAAGAAGCCATCCAATTCTACAATTTTCATCTTCTGACACAAATACTCCCACTTTTGATTTTTTGAGTTGGAGACTCACTCTGTCACCCAGGCTAGAGCGCAGTGGTATGCTCACGGTCACCACAACCGCAACCTGCTGGGCTCAGGTGATCCTTCTGCCTCAGCCTTCTAAATAGCTGGAACCACAGACACATACCTCCATACTCGGTTAATTTTTTTTATTTATTGTAGAGACAAGGTCTCACCAAATTGTCCAGGCTGGTCTCAAACCTCTGGACCCAGGCGATCCTCTCACCTCTGCCTCCTAGAGTGTTGGGATTACAGGCGTGAGCCACCATGCCAGGATATTTTTGAAAACTGAAACACTGATTGTTTCATTCATGTGAGTTTTGTTTTGTTTTGTTTTTGTACATTTGAAGATAGAATATAACAACTTTTTCTTTGATATACAGGAAAGGGGAACCACAAATAATCTGAAATGTATTTATTAAAATTATGTATTTATTCTTACATGTTTACATTTCAGTCACCTTCAAAATAATTTTGATTGCACCTTTGATGCAAAACACCAAAACAGTTTTCTGCCACTCAAAACAGTTTTTCAACTCGTCAATTTTGATGCCTTTAAAGGCGCTTCTGCCATTTTTTTGTTTTACCTCTTCCACACTGGCAAAAAGTTTTCCTCTGAGGACCTTGTTCATCTGCCATTTTTTTGTTTCACCTCTTCCACACTGGCAAAAAGTTTTCCTTTGAGGACCTTGTTCATCTGAGGAAGCATAAAAAAAGTTGCTTGGGGCGAGATCAGTGATTAGGGAGGGTGGGACACTGGGATCATGCTGTTTTTGGTGAAAAACTTCTGAACACTCAGCGAAGTGTGGGTAGGTGCTTTGTCATGGTGGAAGAACCAGTCAGTCACCTGTTTGCCGCACTTCAGAACATTTCTTCCACGAATCGTCTCTCACAACAATGCTCACTGGTACACTGACGCCAATGGGTTCCCAGAAAACTTACCTAACGGGGGAGGCCTGTACTGATAGGGACTCACCTTCCAAAATATAATTCTGGTTTTTTGGGTCCTCCTTCGCAGAAGTCTCCTTTGTAGTAAAATGCAGTTCCTTCTCAGCTTCTTTCTTTTTCTGGGACTGGGGAACAGATTAGAAAATTGTAATAACTCAAGAGCTTTCAGTACTTTTAAAAAAAAAAAAACGAAAAACCAAAAAAACAGAGAGACAGGGTCTCATTATGTTGCCAGGGTGGTCAAACTCCTGGACTCAAGCAACCCTCTCTCCTCGACTACCTGAAGTGCTGGGATTAAAGCTCGGGCCACTATCCACCGGCCTACTCCTACTACTTTGAAAAAGTCTTGAATAATTTCTTTTTTTTTTTCCCAGTTGGAGTCTCACTCTGTCGCCCAGGTTGGGGTGTTGTGGCACACTCATGGCCACCCCAGCATCGACCCGCTGGGTTCAGGTGATCCTTCCACCTCAGCCTTTCAAGTAGCTGGAACTACAGAAGTGCACTACCACGCCCGGCTAATTTTTTGTTTATTGTAGAGATGAGGTCTTACCAAGTTTCCTGGGTTGGTCTCGAACCCACGGGCTCAGCCAATCTACTCACCACGGCCTCCCAAAGTGTTGGGATTATGGGCTCAGACACCAAGCCGGCCAAATAATATCTTTCCTGTGATTATTTTGTCCCTCACTTCTGGTGCAGTCACTATTTCAAGTATTTATATAAAAATGATCAATAATGTAATATTATAAGAAAATTACCAAATCATTTCAAAGGTAGACAGAATGTCAAAGTTGTGTGCTAAGATTTTTACTAAAATATACTCCCTCCCCCTTTTTTTTGTAGGAGTCCAACTTTGTCACCCAGGCTGGAGTGCAGTGACACGCTCACAGCCACTGCAGCTTTGACCTGTTGGGCTCAGGTGATCCTTCTGCCTCAGCCTTCCAAATAGCTAGAATCACTTGCGAGGGCCATCAGGCCTGGCTAATAATTTTTTTATTTATTGTAGAGACAAAGTCTTGCCAAGTTGCCTAGGCTGGTCTCAAACCCCTGGGCTCAGTGCTGGGATTACAGGAGTGAGTCACCATGCCTGGTTACTTTTTTCCCCTTCTGATGCCCTTGATATAACTAACCGGGTATTATTATTTTAAAGGTTGTATTTTTCAAATACCTTCAACTTGTCAAAAGAAGATAGACCTTAAAAACAATCAATTTTTTTAAATATTGTTTTAGCATGTCCAGTAGTTTTCCAATGTCTTTTTTTTCCATTATAGAAAACACTCTCTTGGCTCATTTTAAAAAGTATTTTTCACTAGATGGTCTCAGTTTTTGTCTTTGATATTCTTGTAAGCACAGTCAGATGGCAAAGTGAGCTGATGTGTAGCCTTGCATTTATTTGAATCATTCTCCAATGTCAAATCCTAAAAGAAAACAGCCCAGCATCCCGGAGACAAGTGTCTTTTCTGAGACACAGAGGGGAAGTGATCTGTGAGATGAACTCAGTGAATGCAGATCAAAATCTCACTGATATTTGAGTACCTGCAAAATATCAAGACCATTTGCCTTTCCGATTTCTTCTTAGAGCTATCAAAGTTCTATAGAAACGTTAGCTGAGACAGAGCCTTCAAACCTCCTTAGACCCTTAGCTAGAACAGGAACATGGACTTGCCATCTTCATGATCACCTACTTATGCTTCAACCGTCACTTTCTACCATCAGAAGATATGCACTTATTAGTATGTATGATACCGATATATGTTGATGATACCCACTTGTTTGTATTGAAACACCCGATTCATCACCCTTACTGAAGTCAGCTACACTGAGACTTTTCTTTCTTCTACCTCCACGGCTGCCCCTTCTCTGGTGTCAGCATTTCCAAGTTGCACCAACCAAGCCTATCCAGAATTCCCTTACATTCTGCAACTCCCACGCTCTAAACCTGTAAGAGTTCCCGAGTACTCCTACAAGATTCTCTTAGCATTCAGAGCCTTCCACCACCTGAGGACAGCTTCACAGCTCCAACTCCGTTCTCATCCTATCCCACTGTCTTCTGTCCGCGGATGTTCTCTGTCGAACTTTTATCATTCTTCCAGGTCCACTTTCAAAGCCTATCCCCTTCCTTGACCACTTTAGCTTACAGTAAATTTTCCCTCTACCTCTAAATATATAGACTACTCACTCATTTGGGTTCTAAGTCATACACTCTTCCTGAAAATTAGCTCAGTGCCAGGGCTTTGTCGTTAATGCTTGGTAAATGGAATAACAGAGATGGCAGGAACTTTAGACATTATTGAATTCAGCATCTGCTGGAGACCAGAAAATCATTGGGGTGAACGCTGACAGGCTGCTGTGCCACCGGTGTGGCCATTTCACCTTTGCATTGCTCTTTTGGTGAAAACCTTCGGCTTTTTAAGGAAGGAAAACCCCACTCAGTCCATTCCAATCGGTGAATATCTAACGCCTCAAAAAAGAAAATTCTCTTGTAATCCCATCTGAACGGAGATTTCCCTGAGTCGAATGCAAATCCCGCGTGCCGCCTACTCACAGAACTACCCTAAGCAGGTTTGCAGCTCTAGAAACGCACCTTGGAAATGCAAATTCACGAGCCCCGGCCAGACCAGCGGAATGGGAAATTCTGGGTGGGGCCCAAGAATCTGAGCTTCAAAAAGTCTGAGAAGGGCTGCGTGCCCCCTAGGAAATGGAAAACAGCTGGCCACCTTCTGCATCTCTGCATGATAAGGAAGGTTAGCGTCACGGCACCACCAAATGCTCCCCCCACAGCCCTGCCTCAGTTAGTCTGCTGTGCCAGTCGCCGGGTCACCTGCCCGCTGGTCAAGCGGGTGACGACAAGGCATGGAAGGAGCCTGCATGCCTGCGGATCTTATCACGCTGAGGCACAGAGAGAAAAACAGCTCCGGGGACCGCGCGGAAAGCCCGACTTCAACACAGCCGCGCGCAGTCTGGCGTCCTGAAAGCTGGGCGGAAAA